AGAGATCAACATTTTCGAAGAACATGTTCTATCTGATGACTTAACTTTTAGCATACAGGCGTATATCATTCTCGTATTTTAATAATATGCTAACGAAATTTAGGTTTACTATAATTTAAAAGAATATTACTTTATTGGTATCATACTTATTTATTTCCTATATATTTACGCAGGGCATAATTTATTAAATTATATAGGTATCTGGTATATACACGAATACGCCCTTTAAGTAACACTGGTTTCTATAGCGCTAGTTACATGTTTCTTGTTATAATTAGAATTTGGAACTAACATTAGGCATTTTAGACAATATAAAAATATATATATGTATGTAGTATATTTACACTCAGGCGTATGAAAAATATATTATAACTAACTCAATGAAAATATTTGAAACTATACTTTATTTTTAACCAATTAAAAAAAAATACCAAGATTACCACCTTAATTTCCTACAAAAGTGACTACCACCTAAGCACGCTTATTGTTGAAACTTTTAAATTAGGAAAGTATAGTATACATTTTGAAATGTTTGTTGCTGTGTGGTAATATTTTTGATAGTGTTATAAAGGGGGTGCTGTGGTAGAGCCTCCCACTGTTATATTAGGTTTATTACTTAGCTATAAGGACAACATTTTTTAATGTCATTTGTGTACCTACCTCTACAATTTCTTTTTCAACACAAGCACCGATTATATTGACATGATACATTTTCAAGTATCATTAACACTAAAATCTCAGCAATCTACCAACTAGATATCATCCTTTTACATGCAAGCCTTTATAATATTTGACAATATATTATTCTAATTCTATAATATATATATTGTACATGTATATGTCTAAAACCAAAAAGAATTTATACTTTCTAAAAACATTCTACCGATTTGAATCTTGTTATTTTAAACGAAAGAACGTTTTTTTTAAATTTCAAACTACAATATTCTTTGTTTAACATCTCCAAACAGAAAATACTGAAAAACTACCAAAGATAAAATACAGAAAATATTTACCTCTTTAAATGTTATAGTAGGTCAATGCATTAAAAACAAAAAACTTGGAAGCAACAGTTATATGAAAATGCAGAGGTAGCATCATTTTACTATTTCTTGTATATACGATAAATAAAAACACATCGGTATATACATATTTTATCTTATTCCAAAACAAACAAATATTGTAAAAATATGAATTTCTAACATCCATAATTTATTTGAGTACATACAATTTTTTGTTAAAGCAATATATTATTTTATAATTGATCTCTTATAATGCTATATTATAATGATGTTTAATAATAAATTGGCAAGTATTTTTCTACATATTAACATATAAAAACATGTTATTCACTTTTTGTTGTAATGAAACTATTAAACTTTACAGGTGTTTTACAACTATCGCATTTTTTCCCAATTATTTTGGCTTCATAAAAGGTTTTGCCTAATTTATATTATATACATTACTAAATAAATATGGGTGTAAGATAAGAAAGTATTTACATGAAATAGGTACAAATAGAATCTCCAAAACTATATTTGTATAGAGTTATTCTGTTAAAAATGATGTTTTAAAAAAAAAATTATAGTATTACCTATTTCTTTTACCAAGTGTTAATATTTTAAAGAAATTACAGTTTGATCGGAGAGAAAAGTTGTACTGAATTCAATAAAAATTAACTGCTAAATACTTTGTTTGCTATTAAATTATTTTTAATTTTATTAAACAAAAAAACTTTTATCTCAAACAAACAAAGTCAAACTATATATATATTATTTATATACCTGTATGAGATACGAAAAACACGCCGTGCTAAAGAATTTTTTTCATTTTTTGAATCTCTTTAATTTAGCCATTTAGCATTCTGCAGGTGATCTGTAGATTACATACTATCAAACATGATTTATACGCGTGTCGCCTTCGACCGTCGCGAACACTGCTCGCGTGCAGTACTTTCATCACTATTTATAATAATAATCAGTGACGAATCGACGATTTTGGATTGGAAGGGGGGAATTGTTTTCCTCGATTGAAAAGCTATTTGAAATGTAGTACAATAAGGTAGTTGTATTCTTAAAGCAAATTAAAGTTACCAAAAATACTTGAGCACAATTTTTTTTGAACAGTTCGAAATTCAACTATTAAAATTTGTCAAAAGCACGATATATTATATCAAATTATTTTGTAGCATTCAAAATTCAGACAATATTTTTTTAAATTTCTGAAGCTTGGAGGTATATACAAAATACAAGCTTCTTTTTAATAGATTTATAGGAATTTAAAATTACCGGATAAATATAATCACATTTATTTTACATTCAGGAATTTTAAGTTTGAATTTCGATGAAATTAGATATTTAAATGAAAAACAACGATAGGTATTTTCTGTTAATGTTTTTTGTTACTTTGGTGTAATTCAAAAATTAATCGTAAAAACTAAATAAAAACTTGAGAATTTTTTCAAATAATTTTAAGCTAATATTATACCATGGTCAATGCATATAATATGTATATTACGTTGATGCATTGTATAGTTATAAGTTATGTAAGGAAATAACAATAGTACCTACTACCTATAATATGATATCATGTATAAATAATAAAATAGTTTAATAATATGTAATATAAATAATGAATTAATTCAAGTTCAACTTACCATATTACTAATAAAAAAATCAATAACGTGTAGTATATAGTTGTATGAATATGTTATAAGATATCCTTAGAAGCTATAATGAATTTTCTACGGCTCAGAATCGTTGTTCATATTCCTACCTTTAATGAATTTAAATTGAATATATCCATTACTTAAAAATATCGAGATATTCATGCGACATCTATTCTATACAGCAAAGCGAATTTCCACATTTGTTTAATAATTATCTTCCCCGGCAGTCGAATAACTTTCGAATACGACCTTTAAGACGTTGTTTCTACAAAAACTCGAAAAATTTCTGAATCTGAGATTTTTACTGTTTAAATTTGTGTATATTTCTTAAGGTCAGAGTCCTCAGTCGTATTTCTAGATTGTAGAATTAATAATTTAAGAGCAGTTTTCTTATGAACTTTTAAATTGTAATATACTAATGTATAATATGGTATACCTATCCTTTGTCTCGGAACTTTATAGTAAATATATATTATATTAAGTACCTACCTTTAGTAATGATAATTCATAAGATATCTACATTTCCTTTAGAATTGCTATGATTTAAGACAACTTATAGTTTCCGTAGTCTATTAAGAATTGTAATAATTATAAACACATAATTATGGGACTTATGTAAATTGTCTAAGCCATAGTAGGAAATGTTGTATAGTGAGTTTTATTAATGTTTCTAATTTCTATGCAACTTTTGCATTTTTATAAATTATATTATCTTCGGTGTGATAGAGTCTGGAATCGATTGGATCGTACTGTGCTGCAGAGCTCCACGGCCCACGCATAAAATCAGACACACGTATATTATAAAATCAAGTACAAAAAGAGATAATTTTTTGGGTAGCAGCGGATTTATAGATAGTATCACTAAACTGCAGGGATTTTAAAAATGTAATTGCAAATTAAAATTTAAGAAGAAAATATGTGAATTCAAATTATGTATAGTAATTCACCATATAAAATTTAATTTGAATGATAATTAATTTTGTTTTTGCCACTTTATCATCACATTGTCTCAAAAGCATCAACCATCGTCATAGTGCCTATGTAGTTTACACAGTACACACTATGGTCAATATCCATGTTTTTAGAAATCTTAATATCATGTCCTGAAATTTGACAAACCGCACCTACCTACAAATATATGGTAAATTAATACATATAAGTAGGTACATATCTGTGCCAGTTTCGGATTTTGATATTACGGGACGACATATCTATATTATATAGTAATAATATACTTACGAGGGTAACTTTGTTTCTCTCTCTCTCTAACTATACGTTTGAACCTTCGTGCAAATTTCTTTCGATAATATAATAATATATTACAAAGAACGACAGTTTGGCTAGGCGATATTATGGTGTATGAGATGGATATATGGACGAAATATAAACGGCACAATGATAATAATAGCAAATATACCTATACAAAACTAATACAACTATGTATATTATACACTGCACACACACGTAAATATAAACATAAATATGTATACATTAATAGATATATGTAATATTTTATATTGGAGGAAATGACATAAAATAAGGTCTCGGTGCCGACGACGAAGTAGGGGGGTGGGGAGGAACGAGTTGCAAAAATAAAAAAGCTCGTCATTTCAGCGCACCCTATATATATATTACACACACACTATATATTATATACATATAGATATTATATTACATATATATATATATACGATGTGCATACACATACACACATTACATATATACGGCCTCGTGTGTGTGTTTGTGTGTTTATTACGGCATAAAGTTGGTGTTTGCGAGATCGTGTGTGTGCGGGTGTGCGCGCCGCGTGTGTACACTATATGTGTACATGTAATGTTTGTTTGTTTATTTTTCGTGTACAGAACCGAGGAATTTCGCGGTGGTGAGCGGTGTCGATCGTCGGCGGGCGATGGGGGGGCTCGCTCGACGGCGTGTCGAGGGGGGGTGGCTGGCGTCCGCGGGGGGGTCGGCGTGGAGCGAGGAGCAGTCGGCGGCGGCGGCGGCGGCGGCGGCGGTGGCGGCGGCGGCCGAGCGAGAGGGTACCCCAAACACAACTCATATTTAAATAAACAAACCCTCCACCGCCGCCGCCTCGCCGTGCGGTGCAGACCAATTGTACGCTGGGGCCCCGGCACATGACCCCACCCACCCGCAGTCGCCTTTCCACCGTTCTCCGCCGCCGCCCGTCAACTGTGTCATCAACAATTCCATTTTCAAAGTGTTTACTTTGGACTAATGTTCCTCCGGTAGTGGTGCCTCGCCGCCGCCAGTGTTGTATGAGTGTGTGTGTGTGTGTGAGTGTGTGTGAGTGAGTGCGTGTGCGTGGTGCGTGTAGAGTAGTGTGTTGTTAATGTCGGTAAGAAGACAGAGCCGGTCGGTCGTGTGTATTGGTGGTGCGCTCACAGTAATAATAATATTATAAATCTTCTCGCGTCTTTCACACTCACTCACCATCGCTCGGTGCCCGCGGACCTCGCTCCGAGCCGAGCACGCGTAACGTTTTTATTATCACCCACTATTATATTAAATTATATTATAAATATTATAGTATAGACTTCGATAGACGTAGGCCGCACGGGTATCCATATAACATAGTATAATAAATGTAATTTTACAAAAAAATCGTATTTTACTGTTCACAATTTTTTCTCACCTCTCGTGCTCCAGTCGTAATACACATAATGTACACTATATAACTTACTTAACACATATCATTTTTATACATATGTAAACTTCATGTACATAAATAATATAATCGTACTATAAATATTTTTATACGTGTCGTACTCGTTTTTATTAACCGTTATTAACCGTTTATTTCCATCAATATATTGCAGTCGCACGATACACGCGGCGGCTGTCCGAACAACAATAATTATTGTTACGCTTACGACTCGCGCGCATGTGACCCGCACGCCTGCACCGGTTCGGTCGCGCCGCGAGCACAATCACACCAATATTATACCGACCGACACCTATACACGACCGCTACTGTAAAATACGCACACGCGTGCCGCGGCAGTCGTAGCGTATCGCCGTGTCGTCGCATTACACCGGTGTGTGTGCCATCACTCGAACCGGCGACGGTTGTTCCGGCGCGTTTTTCGCAACACCTATACGACACGCCGGTTGTCGGCCAACGCGTCGCGTCCACTGCACCACCGCCACCGACGACGACGCCGCCGCCACCGCCGGCACTCGGCGCCCGGGGTGTACCCGCGCCAAAATTTCAAACATTCCGGTAAGTGCGGACTCCAATAATAATAATAACAACAGGTTCATACCAAAATAATAATATGTTATACCGTGCGTATGATCCGCGTGTAACTTCATTAAGATACTATTGTCAATTATTACACTGTCGCTGTATAACCGCGTGGTTCATGCAGTGGTCAGAATTTTCTTGTTATTCACCAAATTAAATAATATATCGTTTACGTAAAACGATTTCATTAGTCATTACTCATTACTCATCAATAACCGGATAACTATAAACAACCACCTAACACGCGGTGGAGTAATTGAATATTTTCAACTATTTGCGTTTTGTGGTGTTTTGTGGTAACTGGTTAACCACGCACGGTCTACGTGGAATGCGGAGACAATATAAATAATATGTACAACTATGTAATAGTATCTATCTTAAAGTCTTTATATCCGGTTACGAGTTGTACACCCATAAGTATCTAATTTACGCGTGATTTCGATATTTTCGGTTGTTTTTTGTTATTTGCTCCAAACATTGGTCTTTGGCGTTAAACTATTATCGGTACGAATTTTGTATTAGTTTATTCACCCCTAAAACGTGCTCTTTAATGACATAATGTCTTAAAAAGTGCCAGTTGATGTTTTCCACGTATATTATATTTTTAAAGATCTGTAAGGTACAATTCATAATAAATTAATAATTCAGTGGTGATGCTGTTCGCTTGTTTTCACCGATGACATCGGGAATCGCTTATTATTATTCAAGGAAATTCTACTAACGAATTTGAATAAATTGCTTACCTCCTCGCGTAAATGTGCAGTATATAGAGATTGAAAAGCTTAGTTGACCTAACCCTGCAGGAAACATTGAGACAATAATTAATTATTATTGGGAAACAGAATTAATCAGTTTTTTTGTTGTACACGAGTATAGCTATAGTATGTTAATAAATTATTTTGCATCATAGGAACAATTTTATATTTTTGTCATGCCTAATTGTTTGTGCGATGGTTATTTTCAAACATAGCTTGATTTATGTGTTTTATTCGATAAAATAGAGACATTTTCTTAAAATTGATTTTTTTTCGATTTAAAACGTCTATAGTAAATATATATATAACTAAGGTTCAGGTTAGATATATATATTGATTTAGCTGATAGTTCTAACCTTGACATTGTGTTAATAAACGTTTTGCAAATTATAGTCAAGACGATGATGAAATATTTCTCACTTAAGTTCTAATGATAAATATAGGTACATTTTATAGGTGTATTGTATAATATGCAATACACCTAATACCTATGTATATACAAAATACCACATTGTTTTACTTCATTATGTACTACCTACTTATAAAGATAATTAATTGCAAAAATGTTTATAAATTGTGTATCAACGTTTTATTGATGACTTACTTTTGTAATTTTACACTTATCAATTTGATTCGAATTATAATATATAATACATATAATTAATAGCCATATACGTTTATCGTAGAGTATATCTTGGTACTCAGGTACTCGGTTAGTTGTTTTTGTTTTTTAAAGTAAATACATTTATGTATTTATCTTGACACGATACAAACATATGTAGGTATATAAATGTATACGCATACATATATAACTATATTGTTAATGTATTAACTCGATGTTGATTTTGGTTAATTTTAATATTTTACATGTCATAGTTATAAATATTTGATGGACACGTCTCAAAGCTAATCTCTTTTAACTGAAACCGAAAATTAAATAATTGAACCGTGTGATATCTAGTGAATTTAATCTATTTCAATTGTTCAGGATTCAGATTATAACCAACGTGCGAACGGATATTTTGGGTAGGCCGTGTTCTACTGACCATTATCTATTTTAGAAATTCTTAAATTCTAAGTTCTAAAGTTCTTAGAGCTTTAGAAGTACCATAGACTTACAACTATACAGTGTGCTGTAGGTACTTACTTGTAGCATTGAGCAAAGTCACGGTTATTCATTATTCCTTTTCAAATGGTCCAATAAGTCCCGTGTGATTTGGTAATTTTATGGAAACTACTTGATAAAAACGTACATACCCATTATAAAAGTATAAAATATATTACTAGAAAACAAAATGCGTAATAAATTTTAACGATACATTTTGCATTAAAATAATAATCGAAACCTACATTTATATTATACCCTTTGTCCCTTTAATTAAAAATAAGTTATACATGGGTAACCGATACAAATATAATATGACATAAGATGCATGATTGTGTGACGTTTTGAATTTTAAAGGCTTAGGAAATAATGTAGGTGTAACTGTGTAATAAATTGTATAGCTTTCATTACTCATAAATTACAATTTTGAATTTCATATAATCATTAAATTGTACCTATTGTAGCAATTTTATAGTCTAGACCATGCGAATGCGCGTTTTTTCGAGTGTCTTCAATAGTTCAATGTCATGTAAATGAATGTGCTCTTGGTGATAAGATAATGAACAAATAATAATATTGAATGTTGATAACGAAACCGAAAGTATAGTATACTTATACATAGTAGTCACATTAAAATTTAAAATTATTATATCTATAATCTACATTGAATATTTGAATAATATTCTATTCATTTTGGATATCATGAAATATGTAGGCATTGGAATTCGTTATAGTTACCAGCCAACTTATTTTTTATACAATAATTAATGTTTATATTTCAAAAACCAATAGCCCTAAGTCATCCTTTATTAATCGTGTTCTTTTCATGTTAATTATTAGGTACAATAATAATTATTGTAATTTATATAAGTAATTGGTACTGAATGTAGGTAGATATAAATTTCAAATGATACTGAACGAATAATGAGTAAATACTAAATAGTTGCAATAAACTATGGTAAAAATACTTATACATAGCTATATTTATCTATATTATATATTATAATTATCTTTAGCAATTGCAATTTCGATAATTTTCTTAAAATATTGACAATTTGACAATCCTTAGAAAGATAAATTTAATTTATATCATCATGTACTGTATAGGAGTATTTCATAATAACTACAATTTACAAAACTGTAGAGTACAGTACATTAAATAGTTTGGAGTAGACCATAATTTCATAATTATTTTAGAATAATATAAACCAAACAATTTTGAATAGAAAAATCTATAATCATATGTGTTTATTGTATATTTGTGCTATTTTATTTTAAATGTGCATTAAAAAAAAAAATTAACAAACACAATATTTATCGTATAGGTATCTATATTATTAGAATTTCAATTTTAATTAGGATATCCATGTTGTACTATATTTATATATTTGTGTGATATATTGTGTGTAACACACAGGTACACCATCGCTATATACACTCAAAACATGTATACACTATACATATTTATATAGTATGAGTGTACACTACAAATATGTGTCTCCTTATTTTAATTTTTATTATTTGATTTGATATTTTATATTTAGTCTGAAAAAACGTGTAAAATATAGTATTTAATTGTACGAAACACAGATTATGATATACAGTTTAATCGTTAGAATATTAACTTTAATTGTTATCTTAATTTTTTAATTAATTTTCAATACATTTCTTAAAATCTACATTATATGACATATTATTATAGATAACAAGTAACTACATACGTAATCTTCTAGCGAAAAATATAAGTTGTTTCCACGACCTCTAAACCCGTTTACTGCGTACTGATTTAAATTCGGTAATGGGTCTTATCATCTAAAATTATATATTATATTTATTTATTTGTTTATCAAACACAACAAATATATATTAACACAAATTATTAACTTAAAATAAAATGTAAATTTTAGAAGTGGCAACGTCCTTCCTTTCTACAGACATTTTCCGAGTAAATTTGCTTCCTCACGTTTAAAAACCTTTTAAAGCTTCATACTTTTTTTTGCTTTTAAAATAATATAAATTTATTATTTTTATAATGGTGAAACTACATGTACCCAGGTTCCTATGTATACATTTTTTTTACTGATAGAATATACAAAGTATTAGTTGTTTTATTTTATTGGTTTATATTTTAATCATTAAATAATTTGTTTGTTATAAAATAACCTACATAAAATCAAAAATAAAATGTATCATCTGTATGTTCTGGTAATACAATTTTTAAAATGATATCAATTAACATTAACATTGCCGATATATTTGGGCAATCCTTATTAGTTATTACTTCCAATAAAACAAGTCTCATGGGCAAAAAAAAAATAATCGTATTATAGATATTAGATAAATTTGTTAAATAAAATTAAATACATTTGGTTCTAATATGTTTTGGTTCTTAAAATTATTTTGCTAAACAGAAAATTTAGTTAAATGAAAGTTTCACTGTATTATTGTATTGTTTAATTGTTAATTATAATCTTCTAGTTTTAAAGGTTTTCACTTTTCCAAACAAGAACAAAAATAAAATAATTAATACTCATATAAAGCAGTATTGTGTATATATAGTATATTGTACATATGTATAATGTTTATTTTATGTATGTGTTTTTAATTTTATTACCTTCTTTTCAAATGCATAATATAATTTAAGCTTATTTTGATGACGTAAAACAAATTTATGTATTTTTACAAAGGTTGAAAAAACCTATGCCAAGTGCCCTGCAATCTTAAACATTATAAGCAACAAATAATAATTTTGTTAGTACCTACCTACATACAATATTTTATACGATCATTTAGATATTTTACACAAATATATGTATCCGTACTTGTGAACTATATTGCTTGTAATAATTTAACATTTACAATTTCTCCGGCCATATACATATATATTATTCATGCATTTAATTCATAATATAATATATACATTTACATATTTACTGTTAATATAACCTACTATATCTTTCATAATTATTTATATGAAAATCGCTATTTTTCAAAGGATATAATTATACAATTTCAACATGATAAAATAAGAAATTGTTTTAACGCATATTAACTTCTAATATATTATATTATATTTTAGTTTAGATATATCTACTACTTCTAGCAGATTTTTTTTTAAGATTAGTTGTATCTATACTGTTTCTTTTAAGTTGTGTCTATATCTAAATAAAAATTATTGTTTATAATTTGTCAAATTTAATTTTTGTGTTACTCATTGGCCATTGCCCATTTTAATTTCAAAACTATTTACTATAGAAGTTTAAAAAAATGGTTTAAAGAAACATGTGCTCTTGACATTATATGAACTTTATAACTTAAATATTATTGTTTATATTATTTCTTGTTTATTTTATCCAGGGTAAAAATAACTTGTATAAAAAATATTTTACTTGTAAACTAGACGTTTATTTGGTATTTGTATATCAAACTCATAATTACAACCATAACATTTTTTTTCTAACATCGTCTTTTTTTAGTTATAATAAAAACAAAAATCTAACTTTCAATAATAAAAACAAGTATCTCTAGAGCAGATGAAATTTAAAAATAATTGCAGATTTGGTTTAAAACTGTATTACTAATTCAAATGTCACAAAATATAATTAAACAACTTAACAATTTGTATTAATGTTATAAGATCAAAATCACTTAAGTTAAAAGTACTGTAATAGTAGTGGGTACCTATGCACAACAAGTATAACACCAATATGGCAATATGCCATAATAGGCAATCGATATAAACTATCACAAATTGTACCAGCTATTATATAACACCATACGTATGTACGTTTGTTGTTTGTAGTAACTATCTTGTTGATATTATATTACATTATACTATATTAAGTCTCTATAGTAAATATAATGCGATCATAAACTTATTTACATCATTAAATGCAACAAAAAATATGAACTAAAATTATTTTAGTCAATACTCTGCAGCAGGCACCTATTAATTGTGAATTTGTTTCGTTGCTATGTTTAATAATTAATTCAATGATAATTTATTGAATAGAACCTGTGTCCTATGTGTGGCTATGTAAAATGATAATTTCAACACGAATCAGTCAATACATATCTCTGAGCAGTAAATATTTGCATAACATATAAAAATCAGTTATTCTCCCTTGTATAGTCATGTAAAATAGCATTAGAAAATCTATAATAACCCCTGTTGTCAATTCTGAAATGAATAATGATTTTTTAAAAAACATAAAAATCAATGATTTAAAAACTTTAATACAATTTGTGTACAATTTTTATTTATTATATATTATGACATATATTTTATATTAAAAAATTATAAAACCATTACAGTATTACAAAGTATATAATAATTTATAATTATACTTATATATTTATTATATTTATAATAAGTTGTTAAACAAGTATATAATTTATATAAGTGTACCTATAGATATTTATTACTTATATAGATATTAATAAAATAATAGTAAATACGTGTTAACATAATCGCCCTGTATAGTGTATGTATATAATATTATACTTAAAGTGTGGGTATATATAGCCATAGCACATAGAGGTGCTATATAGGTAAGTATTTGTCAATATGTGCTCTGGTACATATGTATATTTTATAGGTAATAATAACATACAATCTACAGTATTTATTTATAATTCGTCATTATACAAGTGTTTCACGTTTCACTGTCCGACTTTTTTCCCCTTTTAAAAATGTAATGATTAATACTTGCATTAAAAATAAAATTTATTTTAAAACAACGTTTTGCTGCCTAGCTAAATGAAATGGGGTGATCCAGACTTTTGGTTAAAGTTCATGTACATTGCTTTAATAGTTAATAGTTTCAAAACAGTTCGACACGAAAGGTAGGTATAGTAATATGTTATAATATAATATATTAATAACACTTGTTTGTAAATTTATCAAAATTGTTGTATCGTTGCTATTACACACACACACACACACACACACACACACACACACACACACACACACACACACACGCACACACACACACACACTATCTCATGCAGTTATACAGCATACAACCTTTATAATCTTTGCATATTACGTGTAGTTAGTAAAATGTTCAAAAAAAAATTGTAACATTATTCAAACGACCAAAATTGTTTTAAACACTTATAATAATAATAATACTTTATCACCAGTTACCACTTATAAAACTAATAATAATAAACATTAAGTATACCTACTGCCTAAAATGCGTTTATATTATCTTATCGAACGTATTCATCAGAATATTTTGTTGACGATTGTTATTCACATATCGAATAACCATCGCCGTACCTATGCATATATATATATATATATATACATCACACACCTGTGGGATATACCGGTGGAGAGACCTGGAGTCAACGATTCGAGTATACATATATTATTATATCCTATCTAAAAACATATTATTCATTGTTTTTTTTCCTAATATGTATTTTTTTTTCGCCAATGGCGTTCGAATTTTTAACCGCAGAATTATTAATGAAAACACAACGCACCACCGGTATAATACATAGTGATCGTTACTTTTGATTATTGTTTTACAAATAGGTTCGGCGATTTCGGTACGCGATCGAATGTTTTCGAATAAATTGTTTATGAAAAAACATAAATAATTACATTATTTATTATTATTTCATGTGGTCGAGCGTGTGTTATTTTTTATTATTATTATTTTTTTTATTCACAAATGCATCAACGGCACATTTGTCAACAGCGTCTGTCTTTTATCGCGTATTGAAAAATATTAAACAATAACAATTATTCCTGACGTGTGGGTGGGGTGGAAAAGGGAGGAGAGAAACACGGCACACACGGCCACTGTGTAAATCGTTATCGTGAATAGATTAAATAACAATTTATTACGTTTGTCGTATGTAGTAGTAAAAATAATAATAATAATAATAGTAATAATAATAAAATAAAATAAAACCCCACGCCTATATATAAAGACTATAAATTGGATATTGCACTGGTGTTGTTATGAATTATTGTTACTATAATAATAATTAATATTGATGAAAAGTCATACGGTATTTTAATAAAAGGCATACGGTATTAATTTCATTTTGTTCTTTTCCCTTCATAATTTGTTATTAAAAAACGTTTAACAAACATGATATAAAAAAAACTAAGAAATAAATGCACAATAAATTACTGTATTATATCAGATGCTACAATAGATATTTTAATTTATTTTTCCAGAATAGCTGAGTAGTCCTACAAGTGTTTGATCAATCGGACGGCATCTTGGAGACTGTAGCTTGGTATCGGTAAGTTAGAATATTATATTTTTCAACGGACCGACACGGTCACACGGACATCACAAAATTGTCCAAATTTAAAGATTTTTTAATTGAAAAAAAAATGATTTTATCTCTCGCTTACACACACATGCGTGCTTTCTTGAATAAGTTGAATAAGACGAGACCCCACCAACCAAGCAAATGTGTTTAATCCGCTTTAGAGCGATACGTATTTCAACAACCTAAAAATGCTCAATACATTGTTTGTTTCCACTAAATATTAGTATTGGATTAAGTATGCAGCATAAACAATAAATATTAACAGTTCTAAAAGAAAACAACTTAACGTAACCATATCTTATCTGTAATAGGGCGGGGTAAACTTGACAACTGATTGATGACAACCCAAACCTTTTTATTGTGTAATATTTATAAAATTTTAATGAAATCATACCATTTATTTCGCCACCTAGCACTTAGCTATTATACGCGTATATTACACATTAAACAGTTTGGGAAAAAAACAAGTGACCAGGTTTTAACATGTTTATTCATTTCAATGTAACATACCTACTAACATGTATATAACTCAAGTATGTGGTAAACTTGGGGCTTTTAAAATCATTTACCGAGAGCAATCTCAACACTCATATATTTTTATATATAATATAACATGAAGTATTTCGATAAATCTCAAGTTAATTTTAGTGTGTAGTACAACATTGTTTCAATCATTTTTATATTTACAATTTTTCTTAATCAAATTTAAGATTTTTTTTGTTTTGTTAATATTTCATTGGATTTTAGATTCTGACCAAAGCAATGAATAATACAGTGGTTTTGCTATGATGTGTTTTTTAGTGTCCGAAGGTTGTAGACACCTTTTCATACCGGAAACAATGCTTTAATATTGTACAATATTGTGGGTGGTTTTTAGTAACTAATTAAATCGATATAGTATGTAATTTAAAATGTAAAAATAAAAAAATTCTCAGTAATCACTTATCTAAATAATCAAGAAAAAATTTGTTTTTCAAAAATTAAAAACTTGGGAGCTATTGTACCCATATATACGTCAATGTCTCTACTATATTCAATATTGAATCATGGAAGACTGAAAATTGTAAACTCCATTGCAGCAGTGTATCAGAGGGGTTGCAACAGGAGCATCTCCCTCCCGAAAAGTTAGTTTTTCTTGTCTTAAGTCATAATTTTGCTTAACTTTTGGACTTGTAGTGGTTTTAAAAAGAGGTATTTAATAATCCCTCTTCCCACCCTCCACGCAAACCACCAAAAATGTTTCACAAGTACTCCACGTCACCACTGCTACATTGTATAGTGGTTTAACAATAGCTACAGCTTTAAATCTTTAAACTCTAGTGTTCGGAAGGATGCAAATATAGTTTTGATAATAATTATTGACTAATTTAACGACTAGGTGCCTTCTGCATAATATGTATGATTATTTGAAAACAAATTATATTATTATTATTATTAAGCAATGGCACTATAAGTATTAAGTGTACAACATAATATATTTCATATAGGTACTTCACATATTCACAACATTGATACGGAATGTGAATTCAGATATATTTATAAATCGTAATTAATATTCTCAATAATAATTATGCAACGGGTATACACTTGAAAGTTTATTTACGTTTCATTATCAATCCTCTATACCTACTTAAAATTATCCAATAAAAAATCTTTGCCATTGAATATACCTAGGTATTAACCAATGGGTGTATTTTTGCAGAGCATAATATTATTTAACATCGGACGTCGATTAAAATTACATTTACACTCGCTCTACAACCAATCTAATATAATGGTTCTGGCCATTTTGGGACGTCCCTCCGTGCAGTTTTCACTCATTTAATATTATAATAATTGTCGATCAAAACTGCAGTTGTTCACGTCCGATGACTGCGATGACCCGAACGACACGTATTACTGATGCGTATATAATTGTTGCAGATGAACCGCGGGGGCCAACCCCATTCACCGGAACAGCCAAGCCGTACCGCAGCCGCAGTGGACAGCATGAAGAACGAAGAGCCGACCATACCGAGTCATCACCAACAGCGGAACATGCTGGCCGAGGCGATAGCGTCGCTGCCGCCTGTGCCGCAGAACTTGTCGGCCATCGCTCTGTTCCATCAGCTGCCCATACTGTACCAGCAACACTACCAGCACATGTTGCAGTCTCGCATCTTGCCCTACCTACAAGAATCGCTGAGGTTGCAGAGTTCTGTCAACTTTGTGGATAAACCGCAGATGCCCACGGTAATAGTCTATGTTATATTTTTATGATTACAACATGCCATATACACTCTAACTTAGTTTTTACTTGATATTGTTAATTTTGAAGTTTAACAATGTGGTTATTCCAAACCATTTCACCCTGCCAGCTTTCCAGTCCATCACTTTTCACCTCGCCACCGCTCCTGATTTGTCAAGTAACCAAATTACATAAAGATTTAAAAATTTAAACTGCAGTTGACCTGCAACTGACCAACAGTTACCACAATAGGTGGTGCCTAGTTTCACTATAAAACTCCAACACTATCCAAACTCTCCAATTTCACATCTGTCATGACATATTCACATCCTCAGACCTCAAACGGAGCTGGCGATCTCCTAAATTAATATCGGTATGATTAAACAAATAAAATCTGTCCTAAAGGGTTCTATGAATACGGATGAATAGCTTCCCTCGTTGTAAAGTATTCTTCTTAGTTATTCATTATTTAGTTTAATAATTATATTTTTTACTTGTTGTGTTTAAAATACAGATTCTACAAAAAAAATAAAATAAAAAGTTTATTTTGTAGATTTTTGTGATTTTTGTGATTTTGGTAATAATTGATAGATTCTAATGATTTTTAGGCTTTTATCTTTTTTAATTGCATATATACTTAAGAAGAATAGGAGTAGGTAAAAGACTTTTCGTTGGAAATTTGTTTACAATGATAACAGCAATAATGGTTACCTATAATTTATATTCACATAAAAATTTCTTTAAACATTTTCCAATTTATATGATTTAGACCAATTTTATGGGCAGTGTTCAGAACTAAAAAATATTTTATTTCTCAATTAGAATTTATTGATGTAAACAATTCTCACCTATGTAACGATTAACGACTACTGACTTAACTATACTTAACTTTCAAGACTTTATTGATGCATACATAACAATTTAGAGTATCCATGTCCAAGACGCGTCCTGCACTTGATATTAACGTGTTGAGTGCATCACATACGCATATATATTAATACCATTAATATAATTAAAAATTAAAATTAATAATTTTTTAATACGAATATTAATCTTTTAGGTAGTAATAAAGCATTTTAACAGACAAACTAAAAAAAACTTAATAATATCTATAATGTTTTTATGATACCTATTATATTTAAATTTTTTTAAATTGAATATTTGTTGTACAATATTCAAAGTATAAATAACTGAACAAAAAGTAGCATAGAAACAGATTTAATTGAACACATTGTACAATTATACCTACATAATTATATTATTACTTATTGGTGGAGATAAAATCGTTTCATAAATAGTTCATAATATTCTACGCATATACTATAATAATAATAATTGATGTCTAACTATTTATTACCATTGTTGTATTTATTAGTTATTGGTCCAACATAATTACATTGGGCTTAAAACTTACTGACAATAATTAACACACTGGAACATAGTATTTTTATGTTTTTGGCGATTAGGAACCTTTTATATATTTTTGTTTAATAAATAATTTTAGATTCTCAACAGAAAGATGCAAATATTGGCTTTATACAATTATGTATATTTATTTATTTTTGTGTCACCTTTATGACTTTATGAACAGTACAAATTCTCAAATTTTCAACTTAAAGGGTTTTTGGTCCCAAATTTAATATGGTAGTAAAATCAAATTTCGAGAAGATCGATTTTGTTTTCGTTTTGTAATTCAAAAATGCTGTTGTAGAATTTTGAAACATTCCACTATCAAAGTGTTGCTAAAAAAATGTAGGCTTGGTCAGAATCAAAAAGCTTGAAAATTGAATATTACATCTACATGCGTTTCTATTATAGTACTTTAAATACAAGCGTCTGGAGTTAAAATTATGAAAAAAAATCGCCAAAATGACGAAAATATTATTATTATTATTATTATAAAATATTTTTCAAATATAATCTCGAAAACTTGGAAGGTTGTATAATACAAAGTTTCTTATACAAACTGTTCTTAGAACCTTGAAAATCTTAAAAAATACATACTCTACATTTTTTTTATAGACATTTGCAGTTCAAATTTCGATAAAATTTGATATGTAAACCAAAAATAATAATTTTAGTTATATGAACCGTTGTAATTCAAAAAATATTATAAGTAGAATTGAAACTTTTCACCACTACGTATATCATTATTTACTTAACATAATGATTAATGACATTTTCAAAATACATACATTTATTTTAAGCTATTTTCAAAATGAACCTATATTTACACCGTTTTTTTTTTTTTTTTAAATAAATTATAAATGAGATTTTAACAGGAATATTATAATTCATACCGTTTAATTGTACATCTGTAATTTTTAATTGACTTTTATTGTATAACATAATACTATAATGACTATTATAATATACATGTGATTACTGATTTGTTTTCGTCAAAAAAATAGTTCAGCCTATACCTGTAGAAAAATAAATTATAAATAGCAATAAAAATATTTAATAACACATCCGTATGAATTTAGGCTGACTAACAATGATTTTTATCATTGAATTCAAATTTAATACCAATAAGTACATATATTACAGTGACTGAGTGACCTATAGGCTATATCACCATATGTACCTACTCAACAGCACACTCGACACCTTCTATAATTTACATCAGAGCGACCCTGCATGTAGGTTTTTAAATTTCTTGTCACATTAAAACCTAATTATTAAAAAATTGATCTTGAACTTTTTTATACAATACTTTTTCATTCCCACATATTATTATATGTTTAACTTTTATGCAATGATTAGATCTCAAAAGTTTTTCAGTCATTATTACCATGAAAACTAAAAACTGCCTGTTTTGATCTTCCGTATAATTTTGCTGCAGGCCTAGTATCTCACATTTCTAGCAAAAAGATATTATAGTTTATTACCAACTATTAATTTTCAATGTCATCACTTAAATGTTGACGAACAAAAAGACGTAACCATGTTTCCTTTACTAATGATAATGGTGGAGCTCAACGTCTGCGTCTTATGCTTATGCAACTATGTTTATGTTATACAACTATATATATATAATATCCTTAAAAGGATTTAATTGACGATACGATTCAGTTATTATAAGAATCTCATCATAAAACCCATATCAAAAATCACGATACACATTTCAAATACAAAACAGATAAACATTTATCTTAGCTTGTAAGAGTTATGACTGTTTTAAATAACCTATCCTATTTGGGAGTAATAGTAAATTAATTGCTATATGATTATATGAATATGATATGAATTATGATGTATATATTTTACACAGTTAACATAATATTATTCAATATTTATTAATAGATGATATTTTTTACATCTGATTATTTATTTTCCACAGTTCTACCAATAAATTAGAACAATTTGAATATCATCCTATAATTCTGTGTACACTATATATTATATTATTTATTGTGTATAGGAACCTAACAAAAATACCTAATATTAAAAAAATGTCTCTATAATTTTGTACTGCACGCAATAAATCATCTATAGTGTAGATATTATTGTGATAACCCAATCTGTTTTAATTAATTGTAAAAAAAAATTTTTTGTACAAAACAATATTCTAAAAACGTATTTTTGACTTGCTGCACCCTCTGACAACAAACACCTCATAAATCGTTGACACGTATTTATAGCATAAATTTATATAAGTAGGACGTAGGTAAAATATAATTATTTTTAATACAACATGACGTACATAAGCAATAATGATAATAATAATTTGTTCACTGCAGGTGCCGGCCATCAGCCTGTTCAACCAACCCGCCGAACAGAACGCGGCGGCCGCAGCAGCGGTGACGGCTGCGGACATAGCGGCAGTCGGTTGTAACGAGAAACCGCCTTACTCGTACATAGCGCTCATCGCCATGGCCATCACGTCCACGCCCAACCAGCGGATGACGCTTAGCGAGATATACAACTATATTACGGACAAGTTCCCGTACTACCGGCGCAACAGACAGGGCTGGCAGAACTCGATCAGGCACAACCTGAGCCTGAACGACTGTTTCATCAAGATCCCGAGAGGCCGGACCGGCATGGACGACAACATGGGCGGCGGAAAGGGCAGCTACTGGACGCTGGACCCTGTGGCCGCGGCCGACATGTTCGAGCGGGGCAACTACAGGCGGCGGCGAATGCGCCGGCACAGGCCGTACCAGCAGCAAAACCACCACCAGACGGTAAGCCACATCGATCGTTGGAGACGATCATAACTTAAATCTATATACTGTCATTGTAGTGGCGTGACAAACCTCGCATAGGACCTCTCACCTATGAGTTTTTAGGGGAAGTGAGTGGGTAATTTCCTGCAATATGCGATAATTTAGTATTAATTTTATACTCTGTTCCACGAGAGAACATTTCGCGGCCCGACCAAAATCCGTTATTCTGTTCATCCCCACTCGACACCCTGGCACAGGCGAACGCGAACTAGCGTCGATAGCAGGAGGACGTGGGGGATTCGCAGAATCAGCAGTTCTCTCGTGGAACAGAGTACCTAAAGTAGATATTTTAGTATTATCTACGATAGGTAGTTACAAATATGGCAGTGAATATGACTTTACCGGGTAATTGGTGCTACAAGGTGGGTAATGTATTAGACTATAACCTCTGATAATATACCAAGTGCTGTATCCAATCCGCCACAGGCCCATAGGTGAATTGTCTATACAGCGGCGTAATTAGTAATTTGGTTGGTTGGGGGGGGGGGCTATAATATAGAATATTTAGAATGGTCATTATCAATACTTTGATCAAAATGTTAGCAGTAAAAAAAAAGTTTATGGGGACTGTCACCCTAATTACGCCCCTGTGTCTATATCTCGTTGAATTAGTTCATAAAGCAAGGTACAGCGATGTAACTTTTTGGTTGTCTGTTCTTAATCTATTTTAATTAGTTGGTTTACCTGAACCTATTTTGTTCAGTCATAGACAAACAGTATATCTACTTCATAATAATTCATAAAATATATCCCTCATCAGATTTTATATTTTCAATATTTTCGATTTCGTTCAGTTTCTATTTCCATTTATTAAGGTGGATCACTAAAAAATCAAAAAGCAGTTAAGTACATAGCTCTTATCTATTATATAACTGGGAAAATGCTAGGTAAGTAGGTAAAAGTGAAAATGTATTTTTAATTCTGTCCAAATCTCTTCCGGAACTGCAGTCGTATAAGTAAATGCCTTAAACTATTTAAAACCCTACACGGTGCAAGTGACACATATTAAAATATATTATAACTTGGGTAATGTGTTTACTTCTGCTCAGTAACATAATGATTTGTCTAATTGTTTTGCATTTTTAATATGTTCTCCGCGCAGAACCAACAGGACATCAAGTCGCTGCTACAGCAACAGCAACAGCCGCTGGCCAGTCCTCACCACCATCACCACCACCACTTCTCGGTGTACCCCGAGTTCCAGTTGGCCGGCAGGAATGCCGTGGCCGCCGCGGCCGAGTCGCTAGCGGACAAGCAGCACGCAGCAGCCGCCGCCGCGGACACGGTGTCCTCACACAACCTGGCGTTTCACATCGAGAACCTGATACAGAAGAAGCACCGCGGCGCCGAGATGTCTCAGGAGGAGATCGTGTCGTCCAGCGGCGTGCACAACAACAACAACGATCTGCAGCAGTACGCGGCCGGCGACGACCACCTACACCACAACCACCGCCATCAGCCGCCACCGATGCAGCACGCGGTCGAGTCCAAGCCCAAATTGATTATCATCAACGACGAGGATGACAGCAACATCAGTGGCGGCAGTGGCGGAAGACGCTGCTAAGACGCCACAGCCGTCATGCGCACAATCAATTATCGTAATATCATAACGAGTCAATTGCGTACATAATATTGTATTATAATTTCGTACCTAATGTAATGTATGAGTGCATTTCACACGCGCACACGACGTAGGCTCGTGTGCCCTCGTTTGTGCGTGTGTGTACATTATAGTAAAGTATACCTGCGTACATTGGGTATACTTACTTACCGGTTACCGAGTATACAACAATATTATACTTGCAGCGCGTGAAACAGGTGCCCAGTGCCTACCTGTTCGACGGACCACGCGAGTGCGTGTGTGTGAGTGTACGACTTGTGTTTTTACGGCGCAATAGTAAAACGGTATCACCCGAAAGAGAGAATTAATTTCATTTTCGAAAAATATATAAAACTTGTACATACCTATTACCTACCTATATTATATGATTATTATTATTATTACTATTATTATTATTATTATTACTATTATAACTACTGTGCTACGATAATCGTTTATTGGTTTTTTTTTTTGACAATTATTCTCTTTTCAACACGACGAAAATATTATGTTTGCAGTGCTTACCTTGTACCTACCACGCATGGCCGTGTTAAGGGGGGTAAAGGGAGCATTTGCCCCCGGGCGCTACAGCTTGGTAAAGTCAAGAGGCACCTTGGGAAAACCCCTGTTGGTGACTCCTCAATTTATATTTATAAAAATGTTAATGAAAAAATTACGATGATTACTTCCTTAGTTACATAGGTATTTATAAGGAACTATGTCATTATGTCAACTGTCTGTTTTATACTTTTTTGTCCTACCAATAATAAAATAAATATTAATATAGGTAATTCAATTTTATGTAGATACTAAAACACAATTTAATATAACTAAATTAAATTTAGATAAAGTCTTCAAAACTATAACTATATGATAGCTTAATAAACCGATTACCCACTAATTCTAGGCAAGGTTAAGGCATATTGTAATGCACGTTTAAAATGAATCAAATTAGCCATTTTCGTTCTATTAGATTTGTGTCAAGACAACATCAGGATCATCAAACAATGAAAAATATAGATGATAAACTTTTGGAGTCTCGAAAAAAAGTCATCCTATCCTTTTTCATGCGCCTGAAATATTAAATAACGTGCGAGGAAGTCAATAAGTGAAGGATCTAAAGAAAGGAAGACCGTGGAGCTTAAAAACAATTATAATATGTTGTCTTAAATTGTGGTACCTACATGATTTAATATACAGTTGAGTATCGACTCTCGATAACTCGAATCTCGAGGCCAGAGGGAAATAAAAATAATTGCGAATTGTGTATTTTCGAGTTATAAAGGTAGGTTCTCAAACACAATTTGAAAACATTTCAAGGGGCAGGCAGGAAAAAAAATAGAGTTATCGAGACTCTACTATATGAGGTACAATATTCATCCTCATCTAAGTATGTACAATGTGTTATGTACATCATATTATATTATAATTTATAACTGAAATCGTATGCGTAAAAATAAAGGTAATATAGTGATATTAGCATTTTTGAGCTCTGCATGAGATAGGTACCTAACCTATTTGATTGAATTTAATATTTAGTAAGTGATGGTCGACTACTATTTAGTTTATTAGTCATGATTGTTTTATGGGTTAATTACTAAGAGAACTTACTAGGTACCTTCAAAGTTTTCTTCCTATAGTACATGACAATATGATTTCTTTGTATAGTTATTGTTGTTGGGTACCTACATAATATTATTGAGAGTGGTAAACTTTTTTAAAAGTTTTACATACGTAGAATATAGTAAATACTTTGTATTTCGTTCACATGATTAACTACACATTCACTTTTCATCAAATTCACTTATTATAATATATCTATTAGCTATTAGTTATATAATAAATTAATAAATAATAACAATCATACAGACAAATATCATCTATGTTATGTCAGTTTCTTTTTTATACTTTGATTTTTTATATTATTAGTACTTATTTTATTTTTAGTTATTTATTTATGATTCATAATTTTCTTGAAAAATTAAAATATTAAACAAAATTTCTTACAAACACGGTTACTGTTAGACATATTCTTGATAAGTGATAATATTGTTAATTGTTATGATAGTTCTACCCCGGAACCGGGTTGTAAATTGTAACATCTTAGATTCAATAATATAATACTATAATCGTTTTTTACAAATCCGGGAAATCCCTAATCAGTAATTACTAAGAGGTTTTTAAACATACTTAAGAAAAAAAAATAGTAATGGTGTGGTAACTTCTTAATATTATATTACAGTTAGAAATTAGAATATTATGCAGAATAAAGATGCATGGCTGGATATAAACTGCATGGCATAGGTACCATTTTCGACCCTTATATTTTGTCTATGCAATTGGTATGAAACCTATAAAATACATAATGTCATGCTTGAATAATATGTAGATACAATTCTTTACTTATCACTCAGCTTTCTTGAAATGATTAATAATAATAATAAAATAAATTTCCCTTTTTGCACTACCTGTTTAATAAATTAACCCCAAGGTACCTTTAAAATATGATCACAGAAATGAGAAAGTATCTTAATAATGCGCAACATTCTATTAATTTTTAATTTATTCCACATATAAGACTAAAAATAATTTCCAAAAGCTGTATTTCAGGGGTCTCTAATTAATATTTTTGAAGAGCCACATCAGAAATCTGGAGATTGTTCACAAACCATCAAAATATTGTTAAAATCGATAAAAACCAGTGAGCAAAAATGATAATATAGATATAATGATAGAAAGTGGATTTTTAAAATAAGTTTTTGGTTTTTGGTTTGGTCTAGTATTTTTCATTTTAATAATAATATAATATAAAATTTGCACAGATTTATACATAGTAGGTAAGTATAATATGCGATAAATGGAGAAGAAAAACATGAACAGAAGGTATATGATTCAGAAGCCAAATTTAAGGTGAACAGAAATTTTAAAAGTCAATGACTGGCTTAAATTTGTGCAAATTCATTAAAATATACAATAATTTTTGTTTACATTCAAATTTTGTGTTAAATAAATAAATACTGTTAATATATATTTACATAAATATGAACACAAGTACAGAATATATGTGCATAAGCACATTTACAAATGTATTTTTTTAAATATATATTCCTATTTCCTTGAGTGTACCAAGTATAGTGTTAGTCAATGAACAAACGATTATAATATACAGACACGAATATAATAGGTACATGGTATTTTAAAAAATGTCTTTAAATACTATAAAAACTTTCAATTTGTATCATGCATCATTTTTTTAAAATTAACTGACAACAATAACAGACAAAAATCTGCCTAAGTAGTTATTTTTCAAAATAAATGGAGGGCTGCAGATATTCTGCAATAATTTATAATCAAAAATGAAAAATTCATTATAATTAAAAGTTATATCTATGTGGTTTATATTAAGAGCAAGCAACATCTGTATTTGTTGTATCCATCTCACATGAGCGTAATATAGCAAAATTACATTGATGTTTAATATTTTGGAAGACATTTTTTTATTTTTTTTTTTTAAATTATTGACACTAACACTTAAATAAATAATCAATAATCAAATCTAAATTCTTTGTAAGTTGGATCAAATGATTGCACCCTAATGAAACCATCTTCTCCGCCTGTACTGAAACTTTCACCATCTGGATGGAATGCTAACGAATTTATTGGACCAAAATGACCTTTTACTCTTGCAAATTCTTCTTCAAATATAACATGAAAGAATCTGGCATCAAATTTTCCTGCTTGTGCTGCCGTTGTTGTTACATCCATAGCATCTTGACCACCACCCAATACCACCTTAAAAAAACAACAAGCAATATTGTTAAATGTCAATGTATAACATAACACATTTTATTAAATATAAACTAACATGATCATATATAGGTGAAAGTGAAGCACTGTTGACAGGGCGTTCAGTCACATAGACTTTGTGGACCGACAAATCGTCAACATCAAATAACTTTGATGTTTTGTCTTTTGATGCAGTAACAAACATTGTACCTTGTCGGTTTTTTTGCATGTCGTTGATTGATCCTTGATGGTCTTTTACAGTTTCTATGCTTTTTCCAGTCTAAAATAAACATTAACATTATGTATAACTAATAACTATATATAGACAAGTCTTAATAACTCAAAACACTCAAATCCCCAAATTGTTCCATGTCCTTTGAAGTTAAAAAAATAATACAGTCATATAAATTTGAAAAATAATCATTTCAAATGCATATCCCCCTCGATTCTAGTTATTGACACGACTCTCCAATATAATACAGTGATACCTATATATTATAACGGACAGGTCTATGGTAGATAAGCTTTTGAATAATTTTAATGACAAACCTATATAGGTGTCAACAATTTTATACTTTAATGAAAAAAAAGCCAATAGTAAACATAAATACATATTGATTGAAGGAACACACATACATAAATATAGTTAATTAATAATAATACATGCTTGACACATACAATTATGAATATATGCAATTAATGATATCATTATCGGTGATATAGGGGTATGTAATCCAGTCATAATCTATGCCTTAACAACTAATTCTGCTGCGTATAGTATTGTATAATATACGGATGTAATTGAATATAAGTTTGAACTAAGATTGTTTTTTGTTATGAAGGTATTGGGGAGAAATATAACTGTGTGTGTCCATAAAATAAAAGTCAGTTATAAAGGTCAAAATATACATTGCAATACATATGTTTGCCAGGACTTAATCATTTGTTATTGTGAGAGGTGTCCGTTAAGTCAGGTTTCACTGTATATAATAATTTCCATTTCTTATAGACTAAACATACTCTCAAATCCCATTGAGTAATAGCACCATCTTCATGTCCAGTAATGATTGTATGGTCCAATGTACCCCAAATTAAAGAAGTCACTTTGGAATCTGGCACAGTCATTCTTAAAATTGGAGCGCTGCTTTCTATAACATAATAATTAATGGTTTAATATATATAACGTTTATTAAATAAATACATTTAAATAAGTTAAATATAGTAATAGTGAATAAGTTCAGTAGGTACTAATTGTTTTCAAATTACAAGCAATATATTTAAATGATCTAAAAACACAGAGATAACAATTTTGAATACATAAATATAACAAAAAAACTGAAAATTTGATTACATTTTCTTTTTTTGAAACAGTAGAAATTATTTATTATTTGTTTATTCAACATATGCTCAAAACATATTCATAATGAACATGAATTCAGCTCTAGTGATCATACTTAACAGTTAACACAATGCTATTTATCATCAATTATTAGACATCTAAATCTTAAATAATTCATTTTTAAATTGTATTATCTTGTAATACTTTACTTATGTCTTACATGTCACTAAGTATAACTTATACCTAATTGTTTTATAATGTTATAATATATGAATAATTATTGAATTAATTGGAGTAAATCTTTAAATTCCCAACTTGATATTAATTTACTAACTTAAAATTTTGAATTTAATTGTTATAATTAATCGGTTCAAATTGTATGTGTTCAATTGGTAAAAGCAATAACTTACTAAAAGATTCGTCATCTCGAGCATCCACTATAAAAATTTCACAATCTTGTTTCATAGCCTGATCTGTTGAATAGCTGGCGAGATCAGCTGAGTAACTGAATGAGCATGTACGCACAGCTGAATTACTACTAATATTACCAATCTCCACACCTGCAAATACATTTTAAAAATTATTTACTTACTTTTCAGCTATTCAATGAAAGTTCCAATATCATTACCAGTAGCAACATCCCAAAGCCTTAAGGTGTTGTCAGCAGCTCCGGACAAAAATTTTGTGGTTTTCCAATCGACGTCAATACACCATACAGCTCCAGTATGGCCAATGTACGTACCAAGACGCTCTCCGTTCAAAGAATACCAAACGTTTGGTGTTACGTCCTTAGCAGACGAGAACAATATATCACCCTCTCTGTTGTATTTAATTTGAGTAATGGCACGCTCGTGCCCTTGTAACATTAAAGGTTTCTGTACAACAAAATAAAAACATATTTATTTATTAAAATAAATGTCTTTTTAGAGACACTGTAAGCTAAAGTAATGAATGCTGAATAGTAGCTTACCATAGTGAATGGGTGAAACGATTTATTATAATTATATTTGAAATATTTATAACTGTAATGCAGGGTACGCAGCTATGTAGTCTGTAGTGTCCAAAAGTTGAGCTTGTTCCATATCTGAAAATTTTCCGGCAGATTATGGTTAGTAAGTGATAATATGATTGCAACGGCCAATCAGAATACGATAAGAGGCCCACGCACGATAGACGACGTCACGCTGTGAAGTGTGAACCCGGCCTCAATATTGAAAATTCACAGGCGTGCGCGCGTATACACGTATTGACTATTGAAGAAAACAGAAAAACTTAGTAAGATTTAAGAACCGGAAAATCACGTGATACCACGTGACAGCGTCCGATGATAAGGCGTAAATAAAACAGTTTCACCAATTATTATACATAAGACTACAAATTATACGGTTTGAAACACTTAACACGCCGCACTGGTCTTAAATATATACATAATACATTGTTTAATATATTAATATGATTTAATCAATAATATATAATTCTATTATATATTAAATATGTCATGTGTGTGGAAAAGATACATCCCCAGTCCCCACAACTCAACTCATCCCTTTTCAAATCACCTAATTAATTATTTTATCACCGTGAACTATAGATAATATATATTATTATATGGTTCGCCTCTATCACCATGATCGCGTTCATAGCTGAATAGATATTAATTTTGATATTGCGAAGTGCGAACTTAATAATATCACTGAGACCGAGTAATGCTAAAAAAGTTTCCTTTGTCACAGTTACTGCGTTTATAAGTAGAAAGTATCTACACAGATGCGCATTAGTGTTATGGGATTTAAACGCATCTTATATTTTAGGATTAAAGAGAAAAGTCGTAAATACAGATATTTCGGATGATAAATAATTTGATTTACCATTTCCACTAAAAATTAAACAAATATTAACTATATGCATTAATCATTTATTTATTTTTAGTTTATAATGCACTTAGTAGCATGACAAGTTAAATATAATTTATGCTTTGTAGCAGATACCAAAGTGTAATAAATTGCAAAGGTATGGTATTCGTTGTTCATCAACAGTTGGGAGTTCGGCGTATAATATTAGTAGATAGCGGTATAACACTTTCCCGTTCCGCAATGAAGTACGACGCACGAGCACAATATATGTAAATCACACACGACTACATACATACACTTTTTGGTCGAAGGGGTCTTATGGACCATAATCAACATTCGATATGAGCCCGACTGACGTCAGGCAATTAAAAAAATTAAATTTCTAGACTCCTTTGAGTGCTCCCCTCCACGGAAATCTTTAGTAAAAGGCGAAAGATTTTTTCGTATTGAAAGGGAACCGGAGTTAGTTGATCAGTGGTTTTGAGGTGTATAAGTATACTTTACGTGCTGCATAAAATTATGAGAATTCTCGGAATATGCATAACCAAAATACATTATATTTGGTAAAAATAAAAAAGTAATTAAAGCATATATCACTTCGTTGTATTATAAACACATATTAAATATTCGAATATAAGATGTCTATTACTTTTGAAGAAAAAATCATTGCATTTTTAATAAAAATGTTCATTTTTCTAAAGACCATGTGTTTCCACGCCATCTACCGGATATATAGTTGGCTATTATATCTACTACAAGAAGTCTACTTTAATGTTGTTTTTGTCCGCTTCAATAGCAACATTCAAACCGCTGACATATTTTAGGTGTGTCCGTGATTCAAACAATATACTAAATAAATAAGAGAACTAAAGAAGTATCTAGTATCTACTTGTTCAGCGATTAAGTCTTGAACTCTCTGTTTTCTCAAATAAATAATAATATATTATATTCATGATCTTTTTATGCAATATATGTATTCTTCATATTGTCAGTAAAATGAGCCATATTATGTATTTATTTAGGACACTAAAATTATTAATAGTAATATGTTAGGTACCTTTGTACTATATTATAGCCTATAGATATTATTTAATATAGTATATAGAATTATATTTAGAATATTATACATAACACACGTATGGGGTAGTCAAGGTAGGCATTTGACTACTCTCCAAACTCCCACACCCCATAAAATATTCAATAATATTATCTTGATAATGAATAACAATACTAATATATTAGGTATGTTTGAAAGTAGACAAATTATTTTAATATAAATTATGTGTGAATAAGAATATAATATTTAAGTGTATGTCATGTGTGTTTGTATGTTAATGTGTTATATACAATATACTTATGTATGACTTCCTGACCAGCAATGTCTGCGCACTCTTATGATATTGTACACATATTATACAATAAAATTTAAAATTATTCTAAATTATGACACTAAAAAGTAGAGTATTATTAGTTTTTTTTCTTGTCTACGGCCCAGGTAAAATTTTTCCTCGAGCCCCCATTTGGTGACATCTACCTTAGATAATATACAATAGAATAGATAGAGCCATGGCCTAGGGATAAAAAATATTATCAATGATGTAAAAGTTAGCGATGAGTCGCCAGGTAAGTGGGCAGTGGCCTCCATTGTGAGCTAGCAACTAGTAGCACATTAATTATCTCAACGAATATTTTATTCTTGTGTTATTCAGATTTCATTTTATTTCCAATTCAAATCAAGTTATAATTTTGTTTGATTTAAATTAAAATTTTTAATTTTTAGTAGCCAGTAGGTAATTCTAAATTTCCAAAAAAATTGTCAATGTTTTTAAAATAGTTAAAATAAACCCACCAAATACTAAAAAAAAAAAATATAAATTTGTTTTTATGGATAGGGTTGGATGGCCAACCTTATTATTATTATCAGCTATTGATTTTGAAATAAATAAAGAGTTTTGTATAACTTCTCTTTATGTTTTTCTTTGTACTTTGTTGTGTGGATAGTTTAACACAGTGGTACATTCTTATTTCTATATAATATAAAATGAATATAAATCTTATTTCAAAACATTATTTCTACAATAGTTATTAGTATAAAAAAAGTAATTTGTATAGTATACTAAAAATATTTTAGTTTAAAAATTCATAGATTCATAATACTTGAGAGTTTTTCAAATAAATAACTACATGATACATAATAAAACACAACACAAGATTTTAAAAACAAAAAATTATATTATGTTTTAAAATATATTAATACACTGATCAACAAATAGGTATTTATCATAACATTTATAAACAATCAGAAAGGATTTAACAAATTAATACTGGTCCCTTAAACATTATTTAGTAACTCACACTTCCGACTCGCTATCATTCATATTTCCATTGAAATCTACCAAAATGGTATTATTTAAATTCTTCAGTTAGGATATTTTTTTTTCTTCATTTGGTTAATTTAATCTGCCATAGATGGAAGTCTTTTTGAGGAGTCTGCTTACTTTTAAATTTAAATATTTAATTTTCTTCATCATTGAATACTTCGATATTGAGCTTTCCTCAGAGAGGCAAAATCTGGAATAGTTCTATTGCCTACAAAATATTTCCGCAGCTTTCGGTTAGGAGTATCTAAAACAAACAATTTTAACGGTTTGTATAAAAGATAATTATAAAAAATAAACCAATTTTGTTATAAAATTTAACATTATAGTGAACCTACTATAGAACTTAGGTTAGAATACTATCTAGATTCTACAACATCTTATTGGGATTTATTGATATTTAGCTTTAAAGCAAGATATGATAATTTATACTTATAATATATTACATAATTAAGACTCTCTTAAAAATTAAATATCAATAAAAGCCTATGCTATGCCATAGACTACTCTTTGATAGATACCTTTAAGTTTGATAATAGGTTAATCCATTCTTATAGGTTTTTTTAACAACCATTCATTTTAAAAGTGTCCATTTCACTGTTTTATGTTGAAGCAGGCTGCTCGCAAATTTGGTATGTTAGTAACTCGGGCATTTTACTCAAGGACCTGCAATTTTTAGTTATAATTTAAAATATTTACTTAAATATCATTTTATACATTAACATACGTTGATTCAAAAGATTCTTTTGATCATTTTTCAAACTTTGTGTGAACTAAATTTGGTTTTAAAATGTTCAGTTAAGTTTCAGCTTTGAAATAATCTTTGTCAAAATGGAGAGCACAAAGTTTCCTAAAAGGCTTGAAATCTTCTTTAGTAAAAATACTAGCTATAAGCCATAAAGACCGTTTGGATTAATTTTTGGGAAACCTAAACAATTAATAGAAATAGAAATTTAATTTTAAAAAATTAAAATATTAAGCAAGTATTTTAAATATAATATAAGTGATACAATTCTTGGATTTATTTGTTTAATGTCACAGATAAGACTTAACCAATAAATTCTAATTTATAATCGTCCAAAATAATTGTTGATCAGATGAGCTCTTTGAGTAACCTCGTTTACATCATCTTCATATTGCTGTTCGTTAAACCCATTTATGTTGTTAGGATCTGAAACAAGGTTTTATGTACATTATGAAAATAATTGTAAAAATAATGATGTTATATTGGAAAACTCAATTGTGTATCTTACTATGAATCAACAATTTAAAATCTAAGTTTTCTTCTGCATCCAAATTTGTTGTCGATTCTTTAAACATGATTGCAATTTTATTTAGAGTACATGTGGACCTCAATACAGCCATGATGGTGTCCATATTTTTTAATCGGATTCCGTACGCCAACATAGGATATCTTCTTTATAGTACTCCAAAATATCTTTCAATTCCGTTCCTTGTTCAATTTATGTAAGTGGAATTAGCAATAGTGTCAATAGATATTTTAAGCATGATAGCCACTCTCTCCTAAAATATTTTAAGTATATTAATTATGAAGGTTAGTGGTATTTTACCATTTTATAAATTCGGTAAATCAAAAAAACTATTGAAATTTATTTTTTCTTACCTACTAAGAGATAAATAGTATAATAGAATACTCCCTCGATTCAAATTCTGCATGTACTCTTGAATTTATAAAAAGTGTAACTTTGTGAGTTGAACTAGGCCAGCAACATTGGTTATAGACAAATTTGCATTGCATATAACTTGTACATTAACTGAGAAAAATCCTTTTCTTTTTCGAAATACTTCTGTGATATCTCCTCCTATAGTAATTAAAATAAAATGTAAAAATCTTACAAAATTATTAAAATTGTATTAATTCATAGTCAACGAGTGATTGTATTTATTTTTACATGGCTACAATCTATAAGCCCTATTATTCTAGGAAACTTGGCTACGTTATAGAAATTGTTGGCCACTTCAGACATCTGAGTTTCAGTTTGTGGTAATTGAAAATTAATATTTGTAACTTAAAAATATTATGATAGGTAAGTATTAAGTAATTATGTTTGCGTACTGAAAGCATAAAGGATCTATGTTAAGTACAAGTATTTAAATTATAAATATATGAAATAGTTAATAGATGCATTATATTTAATAATATTCCTACCGGAGACAAATAGCTGTTGCTACTCTGACTATTATCTTACATATGGTGGATAAATGACATCCCGTGAACTCGCCAACACTAATCAAATATTTTGCTGTTGCACAGAATCTCAGAAATGTTAATAATTGGCTTATTGGAGAAACTGACCTGTTCCTAAAAATGACTTGAAAGTAACATATCTAGTATAAATTAGGCCCATTGTAATTTTACCCAACTAGTGGCATACCAATCTATAGGGAACAGGGGCACCTCCCCAAAGAATTTTGCTATTGAAGTAATAAAATAAAATATTAGTTCTAAAAACATTTATATATGATTATAATACATACAAATTTGATAGCTACTAATCTATACAATGTATATTGTATACTGTACAGTACCAACATTTGAAATATATTGAATTGCTATGACTAGTATTTAGATTTTATTTATAGTTTTATAGTAAGATATTATTTATTATTTTATCCTTCCCTAAACTTGTTTATTGGGTATGCCACTGCTCCCAATCAAAATCTTTCATAATTTTCATGGTGGTTTTAGTCGAAGTGGAAAATACTTGTATGAGCCAGATGAACCACATCTACTTATTAACTTAAAAATCTGTTGGGTGTTCAAAATCATCTTCTATTAACTCAAGAGTGAAAACCTATGTCATCAGGTGTTGAAAAATAATCAGATCTTGTATATACTTGACGGGGTAACTCAAAATAAAGAATATCCATTTCAGTCTTGTTATTGTTTTCCAAAAAATCAAGTAAGAAGCCTACATTTTCCAAATGATCATTCATAGCTTTGATTTCCATTATATTATCTACTAAATATAAATTAAAATAGTACACTGTTCATTTGTAAGGTGTACAAATACTCAAGAAAAACAATTTTGTTTTAAAATTTAACATAATTTATTAGTTATCAACTATAAAATATCAGGTTATAAGTGGAACTTAAAACACTTAAGTCGCGGTTATTTCTACTTAACTTAAGGTTGACTTAATGTAATTTCAGTTCAAGTTTTTTGTCGGTGCAACATACTTAAGTTTTAAGTGTTACTTAAATAATGTTAAGCGTTACTTAAATATTAAGTATAGCTGGTACAAATAAGCATTAGTATTCACAATTTTATAAACCAGGTAATCCATTCAAGTGTCTATAGGTACTCATTATTTCCAAAAGTTTTTTGTAAATATTTTTTAGATAATTTTAAGTAATTTCAAAACAACATTTCTGAACCAAAAAATTAAATTTTTTACTATTTTTTTATTTTTTTTTTAAGTACTTTTTTGAATGACACCATATATTTTTAGTTCTATGCTCTGAAGCAGAATTTTATGTATATTAATGTTTATTAACTATCTTCTATATATATAAGAATCTAACTTGATTTTGGAGACGAAGGAAACTGGTTTTGAACCCTCATTATAATAATAATAATTAACTAATTACCTACCAATTATTTTCATATATTCACCGATAACGATGTCTGTTTCTTTATTTTATTTTATAATCGTTGTATTATTTGTATAGCCAAAAAATAGTCTTATGTTTTTAAATTAAATTATAAAAAAATAATTTCTTCCGGAGGAAGATCGGGCAGCTAGTCAATGTATAAAAATCAAATTTTGGGCAAGTAGTTCATCAGTCGTAAGTATTTAAAATTTGTTGAGCGGAGTAGTTGACCAAACCAATCTTTTAAGGGGTACTGCAGTGGCCCTGTACCTCTTTAGTTCACTGATGTAAACTTATAATGGTTATAGTTACAAAGTTTATAACATTATGACTAATGAACTAACTATCCGAAATTTGATTTCAAGTAGATTCAAATATGTACACCAAATAATAATATTCTGTTCTGGAATATGGAATTAAAAATGTACAGTACATTAAAAAAAATAAAAATCTTAACTAATATAGGTAACAATAAAAATAGTGAAAAATATATTTTTCTTCCAGAAATGTTGTTTGAAATGACCCCAAATTTTGTAAAAAAAGTATTTTCGAAATAATTGTTGTATACACGTATAAACAGATCACCTGGTACCTACCTGTATAAAATGATGCAATATTATAGAAAAGATTTGACTTACGAGTGTAGAGATACTTGGGGTTTTATATGGGGACTTCAGATAAAATACACACCCTCTTGTATTTTTTTTTTTGGTGGCCATTATCCCAAAAATAATTATTTATATTTAAAAAAAGAGTTAAAACTTAAAATAACTAAATACTAATGTTTCGATAAACTCGACAGTTGGAAACTCAAAACAAATTAACACTTTTTATCAGAGATAAATTATCAGTAATCTTATCAGTTATTACTGAATGCATTGGGATAAACATGCGACTAGTTGCTGCAAGCGTATGCACAGTGGAGGACATTCACCAGACGACTCGTCTAGTCGTCTGTAAGTTGTAACGTCATATTGTACGTCAAAATAATTGAGCGGTAGCCCGTGGCTCCATCCATTGTATAATATTATGTTATGATCTAAGGCAAACACATAATATATAATATTAACATATTTATAATATATTTAATATATATTAATATGGAAATAATATGTCAATGTCCTATGATAGAATGATCTATTATCTATCTAGCCCTTGCCTTTGTCCTATAAGGACTATAATACTAGATAAAATATATGGAGGTATGAAGTCGGTAGGTTCCTAGGGTATAATGTGTTCCATACTACCGACTACAATTTATAATTTCTACTTTTCACCTATGCATTATACAGTGCCTAATGTAAAACTTAATTATTATTATTTATCTATTTTAATTTCAAATTTGTATGACTTAAAATATAATAAGCAATAACATTTATTTTCACTAATTGGTAATTTTAGGTGCCTATAGCTGTTCTTTGAAATTTAAATTGTAGATTGTATTAAATTAAATTAAATAAAGCCTGCCGCTGGGACCTAGTTGGTAGTATAAACAAAATTAATGTACTAATAATTATTTAGTTCCTTAAGGTTAAGGACTTAGTCATCTTTAGGTACCCAATGTTATAAGTTATAACTTAAAAGTATGGACATGTACTGTGCTTATAGTGTATAGTTAAAAGTGTTTGATGTTTTAATGCACATTAATAATACATTATTGAGTTCTACTTTTATACAATTTAATTCAGGGGGGGGACGAGGTGACCGAGTGGTCTGACTCTTCCGCTGCGACGCAGCCGGTCGCGGTTCGATCCTCGGCCACCGGGCGGCATTTTTCTCCGGACAATTCGCGGTGACCGGAGAGCAAGTGCTGCCATCCCCCACCCCCGGGGCATGGCAGAAACCTACGGGTGCCCCATTCGAAATTCTGCCAAAAACAAACACACACGTGTTCCCCCTACCGTTCCAAAAACCTACAAACCATCAATACAAAAAAAAAAAACCTACAGTACCTACTAATAGCTAATGGCCTCAGTTGCCGGGCTCAGGATCAATTAAAAAAAAAAAAAAAATTTAATTCAAGAATACGTAACTAAAGTCTAAACAATTGTATTTTACAAACTTCAAATTTTATAACCGTAATATAGATAAAGGATAATTATATTTTAAATTACAACAAAATAATCATAATCTATTTTAAAACAATATTTGTATGCATCAACTTTTAAAAATATATCATTGTTAAACCAATAAAAGCATTGATTATTGGCGGCTTATTGTTAAAAAATATAGGTCATACAGTCGTAGCATACATAATTCCAAATATTAAATATCCAAATATTCTTAATAGGTGTCTTGTGTCTAGCCGTTTAGGTAACTCGATTATAAAGAAGGTATACTAGTACCGTTATACGTTAGTTTTCTGTCCTAAATTTACAATTACTCAAAATGCATATTTTTAATTATAACTCCACAAGTTGTGATGAAAGTTCCACCTACACAAAATCGGTTAAGAAATTCTATTATGAATAAAATTAATAATAGGTATGCAATACAATTTTACCAATGTTATGGTCAAATTTATCAAAATTGTGCTATAAATATTTTTGGGATAGCATTTTGCTACCCAGTACCCACCACTCGGTACCAACCACTTGGTTTATATCTGTACAAAGGTGTGACTAATATACACATTGTCAATGTGTAATGTGATACAGATAATATCATAATTATCAACAGTGCGTGTGTTTACTGTGTGTCTGTGTTGATGTATTCAGAACCCACTGTGATGGCGTGATACACTAGTACGTATATCGGATACAAGTCACACGGCCCTATACACTCATTCCTGCAACGTAGGTAGTGGAATTAAAAAGCGATAAAATAATTCTAAACAGTATATTTCAGTATAACTGTAGCCTGTAGGTACTCGAAAATCTGACAATCGCATAATTTTTTTTACCAATAAATTACAACGCCAAATATATTTTGTATCTACCAATATAAATGGATAAAAATCAAAAATATTTACAACATATAGATGTACGTTTTTTATACAGAAAGTCTAATGTCTAAAGAATGTTTGAATTATTTATTATTAATTTTTTTTTTTTTTTTTTTTATTGATCTTAAGCTTCGGCAACTGAGGCCATTAGCTGTAGTAGAATTTGTATTGTAGGTTTGTATTGTATATTTTTTGGGACGGTAGGGGGGAACACGTGTGTGTTTGTTTTTGGCAGAATTTCGAATGGGGCACCCGTAGGTTTCTGCCATGCTCCGGGGGTGGGGGATGGCAGCACTTGTTCTCCGGTCACCGCGACTTGTCCGGAGAAAAATGCCGCCCGGTAGCCGAGGATCGAACCGCGACCGGCTGCGTCGCAGCGGACGCGTCAGACCACTCGGTCACCTCATCCCCCATTTATTATTAATGTTTGTATATATTTGCTACCTTATAGTAGGTATTCAATATTCACAAAAGTTAATGGTTTGGTACTAAATTGAAACGAGAATACATATTATACAGTGAAAATAAAAACTGGTCAATCATGAAGATTGTTTACCCATTATTGATTAATTTTATAATTTATACTAATGTCTTAATGGTCATAATTTGAAAAACTTTTTTTTAGGTACATATTTGTAGTGTGTTGGTATTTACCATTGACCTATGGTTTATATGTACTTACTGTCTTACTATACTTACCTACTCTGTTATCAACTATAAATCTTATAAATGTTTATAAATCATAAGAAATGAATACACTCCATCATACATTATAACTGCTGTCAATATTGGTGTTTTTATAACTGAAGTAGGTATCTAGATGCCTATTGTTGATGCCTATTGTATAGCTGGTATTAGGTATTATTCTAACATAATAAATATTAATGAAAAATATTTATACATACTTAGGTAGATATCACAAAAACAATAGATAATATTAATATAGTTAGTAGGTAATATCTAATTCCATCTTATGAGTGATTATTAAATTAATAGGTACCTATATGACGTATGTGGTAAATGGTAATACACTTATACCAGTAATACTTAACTAATACGAATTCATCATCAGATTGACAGATTATTATTATACCTAAATGTTTAATCAATTAAATCAATTCAACAAAAATATTTTTTTCACAAGAAACTTCGTTATATAGACAGTTAAGTTAGTTTTTATTTTGATATTAGTATATTATACATTGTCTTATAATTATTTACTCTATAGCTTAGCTTTCGGAGGTACCTACGTGTATTTTTTTACTTTAGTGATTGTATAGGTATTCACTATGCACTATGTACGTGCCAATTAGTGATGTATTACTACAATTTTATCACTTACTTACGTGCTATTTTTCTAATTAAATTTAATAATTCATTTTAGCATATTATTCTGTATATTTCTACAATTTGTATATCGAATTGCACATAAGCTAGACAGTAGACGGTTCGTAGATTAGGTACCTACCGAATTTACTGCGTAGTGAAATGCCAGAACATATCAAATTATTTACGTACTATATTGTGATGTATTTGTACCTTTGCCTGTATATTGTAGCCTTTCACTCATTTCTAAATTAAAAGTGGTCAACGTGAGTTGTTTTGGTTTAAAATTATATTCAAATACCGACCTACTGTGTTAGTGTGTTAATTGTTAAATAATAAGAACCGAGGAACTCGCTCTGCTGGTTGCTGTACGCATGTATATAGTATCTACTCAATACTTGCATTGGTTTCGAATGTACCCAGGTATAGGTAAGTTCTTCCAAAAGTGGATCCGGAATCTCTGTACAGTGGGGGCACTTAAATTTAAAACAGTTTTATGATTTTCTTTGTGAACCAGAAGGGCACTTTCCCCCAGCGCCCCCCTTGATCCGCCCTTGGTTTCTTCACCCGGCGTCATTCACTAGGTACTCAGATCACAATAATGTGGATGTATTAAATTTGAATTTATTGATAAATCATTATTGTTTACAAAAAAACAATTCTGATCCAAAGAGATCAGGTTGGTCAGAATTAATTATTAAATACTGGATACTAGTATAGATAAGTTTAGATCTAATCAAGATGACGTAGAATATTATCTTGTAAAATGTAAATAGGTTCATGAATCATGAGTATATCTAATATAAATAATTATAAATTAGTCTTAAAAGTTTATTGTGTAAAGGAAATATACAGTCATAATATCATTGATTAATGATTATACATATAGTGAAATACCTAATAAACAATTTCAAGTCTCTTACGATAGAGAGTTTTTTAGTTACAATAAAATTGAAAACATATAATAACTCTTTACCAATTGAGGAAAAAACGTTAGGTAATTTTGGTTTAGATATTTTATAATAATTTTTTAAACATATTTTGAACTTAAAAGTTAAAACATTTATCGAAAAAAATTGTAGTACCTATCTATATATATTTTCGATATTATGTAAATCACTGTATGGGGGCGGTGAGCGCAGCAGCCAATAGTCTATATACCTATGGGCTATAAATCACGGACGATATTATTAAGTGCGTTGCTATAAAGTATTAACTAAGGCAGTTTGGTGTGGTAGGCGCCGTACGTCAGTACTCAGCTTCTAGTTCTATGGCAACAGTGGCTTAATTCAGTGCCCACTGTCCATAAACCTTTAAAATTTGGATTTAAGTTAATTCAAGTTATACAGTAATATAGTATTTACTATATACTAGAGTGCCTTGATAGATATAATCATATAAATAAACCTAATATATATATACCTTCATCAAGGCATCTACTATCAAGGCAGTAGGCACTAGACACTTCACTATATTATACTGTAGGTCTATAGAGTTTTTTTAATTTCCATTACAATAATTTTTCATAATTCATCAATGAGCACAAAATATATTTTCTATGC